ACACAAGAGAACCTGGTGACAGTTCGGGGACAGGAACCACAGGATCTGCCTCAGTCCCTATGGTCACAGAAAGACGTTCAGGAAGCATGTTTAATGCGCTATTTCGTAGACGAGCTTGCACAATGGGTGGGTGCTTACAGGGCTGAGGAACCAGTCGCTGTTCCCCAAAATGAGGCTGACGATCTCTCCTAGTTCGATACATGTGATCCCTCTAAGCACTTTGCTAAGGTTGTTCCTCAACGAGCAGCGAATTGTCCAGCGCTCCTATATGCGATCTTTTCCGCTTCCGCAAGACACCTCAGCCGAAGTCAGTATCTACGAACCAATGAGGTATTGTGTTTGGGGAAGAAATTACCTTTTCTTGGGGACGACGCTGCGTTAGAGTACCAAAGTTTGTGTATATCACACCTCATGAGTTTGTCTGGGAATCCCGCCGAAGTGGCAGATGAGAACCTCTTGGCGGCAGCGGTAATTCTGCGCTTCTATGAAGAGGTCGATTGTATGTTTCATTACTATTGACACGTTTTGTGACGGCAGTGGCGGCTGACTTAGTGGGCTTCAGTACCCCTTGTAGGGGTCGACGATGAGACTTACTTGCGAGGAGTGCAAGTATTCCTGGACGCTCAGGGCGCAGTCGCAGTGAGGGACGGTGGCCTCCGGCTAGCTGCATTCTGGGTAGGTATACGCCAGGAATTCCACACCTCGTTCATCAAACAGCGTATCTTCCAATTTGACCTCAGTTGCTGTGATCACTCGACCTATAGGTTACTCGACCAAGCAGATGACCCCACATGGGCCAATCGAGTCATTCTGCACTGCGCTCACACGCTGATGTACTGTTACGACGAGAGGAGCCATACGATGAAGGAATATGAACAGCTCTGGGATTATAATCAAGGGTGGAATCGGATGGCACCACCGACATTCAATCCGATTTATCTTCGACAGCCAGATAGGTCGAAGGACGAGGTGTTTCCAGAGTTGTGGTTCTTGGATGATTGCATCGGTATAGGCCAACAGCTTTTGCGCTTGGGAGCAGTCAGGGGCTAACACGGCGTATATTCATAGTGACTGCCATTCAACACTGGCACCTTGCGAGGATTCTACTTACTGCATTCGACCCCAGAGTCCCCCGTTTAGGGCCGGGTAGACGAGCAGCAGTCGGACGAAGAGAGGTATGGAATGTACCAATCCAAGAATAATTTGCGACATTCACTCATACTCTCAGGCCGAAATCAAAGAAAGCATGTTTATACTCTGTGGCATTGCTCGGTCGAATAAAACAGCGCCTGCCCTTATCACGGCATGCATGGGAGTTTCGATGTGTAAGCCACCCGTTTGGTGAGAGAACTGTATGCATAGTTCCATACTAATGCTTGAGACCAGGTGGAGATCGGATAACGGATCGTTTAGAGCAAGAAGCGCTACTCGGTATCTTGACCACGACCGAAGAGACCCACGCCTTATCAACTACCAAGGCACAGGTACAGCTTCGAGAGGCCTGGGGCTGGATTCATTCCGATGGAGAGTTTCCCAGCAGAAAATTAGCATAGCTTTGGTGTAGATATGTCAGAGATTCTAGATCATCCCGAGAGTGGGGGAGGGTAGCAGAGCAAAAGCCATTGTGGTGGTGGTGGTAGAAGTTGTAAACAAAGATTCTAACCATACTTTAGAACAAATGGTTAAAGGTGCTGCTTGTCCAAGCACAGCTAGAGTGTCTTCACGAGTCACGAGACGTGTGGTCGAGTCCCGCTCGTGTCATACCTTTTCCTTTTTGCTCTTTTCTCTTATCTTATTGACCATATAATGGAGTTTATTTTACCCTTTACACATCACATTATATTCAACTAAATTAAACGGTAGTTTTACACCAACAATTGCGATCGTTACCTGAGTGACATGCAAGTGTACTCATACCCGAACGGAGTGATCTCCCCTGATTTCCATACCGTACCGTACGGAACCAAAGATTCCTCGGCTTCCCCAGAAAGTCGGGGGATGATCCGTTCACATGTCATCCCCCCAACGGGGCTCGTCTTGCTCTCTTCACATCATCTCTCTCTCTCTCTCTCTTTCTCCCTCCCTCTCCCTCCTCCACCTTCTTTGCCCTATCCATAATTCTTCTCCCAGCAACTAAATCATCCCGCTTCATGGCCATGTTATCCCAAGTTGACTCTGGCTGAAATTTAATTCTGCCTGTCTTGCGCGCGGCTTCTTCCTCCCGTCGCGATGGCCGCTCAGTCGAAACTGCTTCCTCCCGAACGATCGGTTCGGCAAATCCTCTCGAGTCTATCTGCCTTGTACCTGCGCCACCGCACTGGGATTTCTCGCACAGTGTATTTGGCCCTCTTTGCGGCGTTAGCAAAACGCATCCATAATGCCATCTCCGAACAGAAAGCCGCTTCCCAGCAACAAGTGGAGCTGCGACGACGTCCAGGGACCAGCAGTATCGGGGATGGCGGAGACCGACCGCGGAAGAAAGTTGGGGTCAACCGCGAATTCTTTCGAAATCTACTTCGGTTACTGAAAATAGTGGTCCCCAGCTGGCGGAGCAAAGAGCTACGGTTACTGGCTGGCCACAGTGTCTTCCTGGTACTTCGAACATTACTCAGTTTATATGTCGCAGAACTAGATGGGAGACTGGTCAGTAACTTAGTGAGAGGGAAGGGGAAGGACTTCCTACTGGGTCTTGTGTGGTGGATGATTGTTGCCATACCAGCAACTTTCACGAATTCCATGGTATGTCGTGCGCTGGTTCTGGTCAGCTCTCAGGTCAGTGAACTGCACCAGCTAACATCATTTAACCTTTCTAGCTTTCTTATCACCAATGTAAACTTGCCCTCAGTTACAGGAAGCGCTTAACAGATTACATCCATGACAAGTACTTGAGCAACATGACATTCTACGCGATCTCTGCGCTGGATGACCGAGTCAAAAACCCCGATCAACTTATCACGGTAGATGTGTCTCGGTTTTCCGACAGTCTGGCTGAGCTATATTCCAACCTAGCCAAACCAATCCTGGACATGGCGATCTATAATTATTCCCTCTCGAAGAGTGTGGGCGGCGAAGGCCTCTTTATTATGAGCCTGTTGGTTCAATTGTCAGCTAACGTCATGCGTGCGCTAACACCGCCATTCGGAAAATACGTTGCCGATGAAGCTCGCTTAGAAGGAGAATTCCGTTTCCTCCACTCCAGGTTGATCGACTATAGTGAAGAGATTGCCCTCTATCACGGCCACGAGGCGGAGAAGGATACTCTAGACAAAGGCTATTTCACATTAATCAAGCACGTGAATCGCATTTTGCGGAGACGCTTATACCACGGCTTTATGGAGGACTTTGTCATCAAGTATTTCTGGGGAGCTCTGGGATTAATCCTGTGCAGTATCCCAGTTTTCTTCAGAATTCCCGGTCAAATCACTCAGACCATGGGTGACCGTACAGAGAGTATGTAGGGACTCAGGCTGATATGTGATACTGAGCTAACACCACATTGACTAGGTTTTGTTACGAATAGGAGGATGTTGCTTTCCTCTTCCGATGCCTTTGGTCGCTTGATGTTCTCATACAAAGAGATCTCTGAATTAGCCGGCTACACAGCCCGTGTCTCATCGTTGCTGGAGGTCATGGACGACCTCTTAGCTGGGCGCTTTGAGAAGAAGCTGGTGTCTTCTGCATCGACCGAGGAGAATGCAGCTGTTTTGTCTGGTCGGGGAGAGGTCGAGGAGAACGACTCGATTGAATTCACCGATGTCCCGATCGTCTCGCCTAACGGGGATGTTTTGGTGCGGAAGCTGTCATTTACAGTGCACCCCGGTGATCATCTATTAATTGTCGGCCCGAACGGATGTGGCAAGTCATCTCTGTTTCGGATCCTAGGTGGTCTATGGCCTGTCTACGGGGGTAAGGTAAAGAAACCTCGATTCGATGAGATCTTTTATATTCCGCAACGACCCTACTTGTCTCGCGGAACCCTTCGCCAGCAAGTCATCTACCCAGATGGACTTCGCGAAATGCGTGCCAAGGGCATTACGGACGATGATCTTTATGATATCCTCTCCATCGTCGAAATCGCATCAGTCGTTGACCGCCCCAACGGCTGGGACGCAGAGGAAGAATGGCGTGACGTACTCTCCGGTGGACTCCAACAGCGCATCGCCATGGCAAGACTCTTCTACCATCGACCCAAGTTCGCCATTCTCGATGAATGTACTTCATCGGTTACTATGGAGATCGAACGGGTCATGTACGAGACTGCCAAGCGGTTAGGCACAACCCTGATGACCGTATCCCACCGCCGCAGTCTCTGGAAATATCACAAGAAGATCCTGCAGTTTGACGGCCAAGGAGGCTACATTTTCACAGGGCTAGACTGGGAACGGCGACTGAAACTAGAAGAGTAAGCTGCACCTATCCTTGACTATTACCGATGCTTACAATAGCTGTATAACACCGAGACTAACACGGTGCTTATAGTGAGAAAGAAGAGCTGGATCTTCACCTCCGAGCCGTTCCAGAACTGCAACGGCGCATGGCTGAACTAAGTGCCTCCTAAGCAAATCTTCCATCTCATCCATATACTGTTGGACCTTGTTCTTGGATCTTTCCGCATCACGCATTTCATACCCTTCCCCAATTTCCCCCTTCACCCGAGACATGATACATGAAGCATGTTTTTTTTCTCTGTTGAGCATTTAAGCGAATGTACAGGTGTAAGTTTAGTGACGATTGGCATCGTTGTCTATGCTGTGATTTGTTTCATAGATACTTGCAGTTCGCGCTAGTTTGTTCACGATCTAGTGGACCAAATGAGGAGAGAAGATTAGAAGAGAACTATAGGTGCAGTCATCCAATCATTCTAGTAAAGTCGTCATCACAGTGGGCATTTCTTTCCTCGTTGTCTCTACATACATGCGTGTTGCTCTGACGGAGTACTGATAGGTACCAGTGAAGAAGAAGCTTAGTAGCAAAGAGAGTAAGAATCAAATAGAAGCATACTGTGCTAATGCACGTATGCAGCTAACAGTCACATAACGGTAACAATTTGTATGCAGAAAATGTTTGGTCGTCATTCCCATCTTGAATACTTAGGATTGTTCAATAATTATAATTAGAACTGACGCAAGTCACAGGCAGGGGTTTAGGTGCATTAGAGACTTGAACCTCAAAACCGAGATATACTGGAAGAATGGGGGAAAGCAAAGAAAAAAAATTGCAGTTATGTCTGGATTGAACGTACGCCCTCGATCAGTCTTTCACAGTAAGTGGCTCTACATTCCAGATTCCATCCGCATATTCGTTGATGACACGGTCCGTGGAGAAGAAGCCCATGCGTGCAACACTGGTAATAGACTTGGCTATCCACTCATCTTGGTTCCGGAATGCCTCGTCGACCATTCCCTGAGTGGTTATGTACGAGTTAAAATCGTCGGATACAAGATAGTAGTCACCGTGCTCCTCAATGGATGCAATAAGTGCAGAGAAGTCGCCAGCATCGCCGAATGTGCCACTTCGGATGGCATCGAACACCTTGGCAAGCTGAGGGTCGAGTTGGAAGTCACCGTAGTAGTGGCGGTGACGTAGTTCCTCGACATCTTCAGCTAGATTTCCAAAGAGGAAAATGTTTTGTTCGCCGATCTCGCGAGTGATTTCGATCTAAACAAGAGTCACGATAAGTCAATTACAAGGGTCAGCTGTAGAGAGATGGACGCCGGAGTCAAACATACGTTGGCTCCATCACAGGTTCCAATGATAAGGCCACCATTAAGTACAAACTTCATGTTACTGGTACCACTACCTTCAGTACCAGCGGTTGAGATATGCTCGCTTATGTCCGAAGCAGGACAAATTATTTCTGCCTTGCTGACGTTATAGTCCTGAATAAATATTACCTTCAAAAGATCGCCGACTTCCGGATCATTGTTTACGACTGATGCGACATTGTTGACAAGATGGATGACAGTTTTGGCCATCCAGTACCCCGGGGCTGCCTTGCCACCAATAATGGATACTCGCGGCAAGACTTTCTTTCTTTCCTCCGGAGACATGGATTTGATAGTCAGATATCGATGAATCACACCGAAGATATTGAGTTGCTGACGCTTATATTCATGGATACGCTTTACCTGGATGTCAAACAAGGCGGTAGGGTTGACACTATAGCCGGTAGCGTCTTTGATATGCTTAGCAAGACGGATTTTGTTCGCGGTCTTGATTTCTGCCCACTCTGTTCGAAAGCTTTTGTCATCGATGAAGGCTTCGAGCCTATCTAAAAGCGCTAAATCTGTCAGGAAATGGTATCCACCAAGCTTTGTGGCGATTAGGTCCGACAACCGCGGGTTGGCCTGGTGCAGCCAGCGGCGCGGAGTGATCCCGTTGGTGACGTTGGTGAACTTATCAGGTCCATAAATCTGGACAAAGTCCTTGAAGAGCGTTGTCTGTAACAAGTCGGAGTGGAGTTCGGCGACACCATTAACTTTGTGGGATCCGATAATTGCAATATGAGCCATCCGGATCATCTTGGGGTGTGATTCTTCGATGATTGACACCCGCGACAGTAAGTCTCTGTCATTGGGGAATTTCTTCTCTACCGTCTGTAGGAAGAACAAGTTGATATCAAAGATAATCTGCAGGTGTCGTGGGAGCAGCTTTTGCACTAGAGGGACAGACCATTTCTCCAGCGCTTCTGGCAGCACTGTATGGTTGGTATACCCAAAAGTATTGGTCACTATTTTCCAGGCCTCATCCCAGGTGAGGCCTTCCAGATCAACCAGGATGCGTTGCAGCTCGACTATAGCCAGTGTCGGATGTGTATCATTCAGTTGGATTGCTATCTGATCGGGAAATTCTCCCCAAGCTCGCTTCGTCTTCTTGAATCTTCGAACGATATCATGCAGCGATGCAGCACACCAGAAGTACTGCTGCTTCAGCCTGAGCTCCTTGCCCCTTTCAAGGTTATCGTTTGGATAGAGCACCGCGGAGATCGTTTCTGCGCGCTGCTGTTCCGCCACGGCATTCTCATAATCTCCGGCATTGAACTTCTGAAAATCAAATTCCCCGCTGCTCGCTTTACTTGACCATAATCGAAGATTGTTCGTGGTAGAAGTTCCATAGCCAGGAATAGGTACGTCATACGCTACTGCCTGGACAGTTTCACCGTCTTGCCACGAATGGACCGTCTTACCGTTCTCATCTTGATATTTCCTCACCCAGCCATAAAACTGGATATCGACAGCAATCTCATGCCGAGGAAATTCCCAGGGGTTGAAATCGAGCCAATAGTCAGGAACCTCAACTTGGTATCCATCCACAATCTCTTGTTTGAAGATTCCGTATCTGTAACGCAGACCGTATCCCCAGGCGGGGTAGTTCAGTGTCGCCAGACTATCAAGAAAGCATGCTGCTAGACGCCCTAAGCCTCCGTTTCCGAGGGCGGCATCATGTTCTTGGTCGATGACATCCTCGATCCGGAAGCCGAGATTCTTCAAGCCCTCTTAACTATGCAGTTAGCGATTTGTTGTTATCTTGAGCTTGTATATTCAGGTCATCGCCTACCCCTAGCCGCGTCCTTCATGCCGACATTGAGCATAGCATTGTCCAACGCTCGACCCATAAGGAACTCAAGAGAGAGGTCTAGTAGCAGATTAGGATTAGGATTGTATCCATGGATGCAGCAGACCTAAGGATATTTCAGAGCACACTTACAGTATACCCTCTTCTGATCTGCAGAGCTTTGCCGCTGCTGAGTTTTATTCCAATCGATGATCAGGCGGTCACGGAACGCAAGGGCAGTTCCCGAGTATGCAGCACTGTTGTTGTTGTCATTTGGGGATCTGGGAGGATGCATGGGACTACATGAACATACAGCTCATCACAATTGTGGAGCGAACGAGCCAAGGTAGTCTCGACGTGGCGGACCAGCTCTTGCTATAGCGCGGTTAGGAGTTGTTTCATGTATGTACCTTATCAGAGTCTCGCATACTTCAAACTCATCTTGGGTCGTAAATCCACTGACAGACTGCAGCCAACATGATTTAGTACGGAAGAGGACCACAACCTCGGATGACAGTCAGTATGTCCGTCTTACATGCTTTCTCCAGCTACACACGAAGTCTAATCAGTCAAGACCAGTCAACCATGGTACACATGCCACTTACGCTTCCCTCAGTGGCTCAGGAATGCTGGCCTCAACACTTTTAATTTCTGCTGGCGCCAAGCCAGTATAAGTCCGTTTGTGTTTTGGGCGGCTAAAGCCAGGGCCAATAGGACCCTGGAGCTCTGATACAGGAGCACCGACAGATGGTTTCCTCTCCCGACGTGCTTCAGACATGGTTTCCCAGGGAGCAAGATGATAGGGGAAGGAGAGGGGCTTGGAAGGTATGACAGGATCAAGGTGAATGAGCAGCGGGCAATTTGAGAGATGGCAATTGATGAAAGGGAGAGGGCGGGGAATGAAGCGCTACCCAGGCAACTTAAGAAGAGGAGAAAGGATGGATGGAGGGGTGGCAGCAGCAGACAATGAGACCAGGGAAGAGGGGAAGGAGAGGTCAGAGCTTCGGTTTGTTGTCGAACTGCAAGCACACCCCGTGACGAGACCTCGCAATGGCACCACCATCAATAATAATAAGTAGTTGAACATTTATCAAGGGACGATCCTAGCGCGAGATTAGGAATAGTGATCGCATTAGGTTGGTCCCAGTCTGTTGCAAGCTAGGAACCGGTTTCAATCCCTTCCAGATTGTAACCTACGCCACCCATTGGGAGGGTTGTCTAGACCAGTCGGTTCTGTTGATCGTGCCACTGAGGTCCACGGGGTATCCGGAATGGTCCTTCATTTTTCTGTCGTGTCACCGTGTGGACAACCGATCCAGAGATCCAGAGATACATATATGCATCTCTATATATAGATTGGAAGTGTGTTGATGGTAAAGATATACTCTCGTGGGGGACAATTGATATTCCCGTCCAGTCGAAGTGATGTTTAAATCTCTGGAGGCGGTTCGGGAAAGTAATGACGCAAACACCATCGGATGGACACTGCGGGGGAGAGAAAACAACCCTAATTATGCCTATCAACCAACCAACCACCTATGGAGTACTACTAGTAAGGTCAGTCGTAGCTTCACAGCTCCTATCATCACCGTCCGTGCGGTACTCATCCGACCTCCTGCATGTATGTGCACTGTCATGACCCTACTACGACTAGCATATAACTCCTCACGGAATCAAGGCCCAGGCCCTACTACAACCTCTCGCTGACCCACACTGACGCATGTACTTAATTTGTCCTAACTTTTCCTGACACAGGATGGTTCAGAGGCTACCCCATAAGAAACGCTGGTGATTATCTAAACTTCGCATAATATTATCACAAAATCCCGCCCAATCCTTTGGTGCTTGATGCCGGCTGATTCTTTGATTCTATCGTCATATTCGACCCAATAGTTAAGGGCGAAAGCAGAACCATGGGTCGGATGTGCCGCACGGCCCCATGTGGTCAGCTCCGTCTTCGAGAGATCGATTAGTCGCAATGCTGTGTGGTCATCGGGGAACATGGACACATCCAAACACCAAAAATTACTCAACAAAAGAGATGCGGTAAAGTGAAAGAACCAAGTACTAAAACATATTAGAGCGCTGGAAACGGAATGGTATAAGTCGAAAAGATTGCAAGCCAGCCGCCCCAGGAGTCAAGGGACCGCTATTAGATGCACAAGGTGAGTTGGACCAACAGGGGAAAGGGACAAACAGAAGGGGAAATAAAGTAAGAAGGGAAGATTTCGAGATGAGAGGATATCAAGGACCCTGGCACAAATTATATGCAAGTAGTGCTGAGGCCAACAACTTTTCACTTTGAAACAAGATGCTCATAGAAATCCAGGCCAAGGAAAAGGGCCAGGCCAATCGATACTAAAATGATGCAGATAAATAAGCCACCCCAAAAAATCATACCCCTCTCAAAAAAAAAAAAAAGATAAAATAGATGGATAAAAATGAGAACCAAGATAGAGACGACTCCATGCCGCAAAGTCCCAATGACTATGATCCAACCAAGCGCCTAGCATATGAAACTGAAAAGAAGACTAGCACCGTTAACGCCGATGCCTATCCACAAAACACAAGGGAGTATCGGGGGGTGAATGACAAGGAAAATAGGATAGAAAGAGCGTCATAGCTGTCGGAAGCACACGTAGCTCGGTCACTCGGCAACTCAACAGGCCCAGAAATCGCGATTTGTCCAACTCGAGATGCCTGCACACAGAGCATTCAAATCTACAAGATACCTGAATCCTTCAAAGCATTTTGTAGAATCGTTTCCTTTACCGCAGCGAATACTAAGCGGATGTTGGTTGTATCGGTGGCTTGTGTCAAGCTGATATGAAAAGTAAAGTCAGTTGCATGTCCCAGTACAGAGCATTTTCATTGGGAATCTGCGGGGCGCTCACTGGGGGTAGAGGTTCAGGTGTGCTCGGTTAACTTGGTTGAACCTCCATAACAGATATTTGGCAGCGCGGTTCACGTCATTACCGCCGGAGTAATCAGGAAAGTAATTGCTCAAGGGTGACCGAGGGAGCTTTTGGCGGAACAGATCGACCTTATTAAGGAACAGGATTATACTCGTTCGCATGAACCATCGAGAGTTAACTACAGAATCGAACAACACCAGACTCTCCATCATTCGATTCTTTGCAACAAGGTCAGTAGCAAGCCTGGCGATTGATATGCGACAACGCTTACCTGATTACTCTCTTCCAAAAGCACTTGGTCGTACTCGCTCAATGCCACACAGAATATAATGGAGGTGACATTCTCGAAACAATGGATCCACTTCTTTCGCTCGCTGCGCTGGCCACCCACATCAAACATGCTGTACAACGTGTAAGCGACGTCCCAGGTATAGACAGGGTGGTTTCTCATACTGTATGCTCAGCTGGCCCATCGTAAACCTAGTTTCATAGATACCGGTAGTCTTCGTTCGGGCGCGAAGCACATCATTTACGTTGGGTATGAAATCTGCAGATGCGATTCGCTTTGCTTCCTCAAAAAAGCTAGCGGGGTGCTGTCAGTGCATCTTCTTTCCGTACAACCTAGGAAGTGATAGAGCTTACTATGGAGCAGAGTCCATCAAGTAGAACTCGTTCTGATGTTCCAATACTGTGGATGTGCACGGATCATTCCAGATATACGTTATTGCCTCCCCTACCTTCGCATCCAACGTTGTGTGTGGGTCGGGGTCGATATTGTAGTCTGAAATGTATTGTACGTAGTCACGGACTTTTTGGCTCGAGGGCTCGAGGGAGAATTGGTGATAGGCTCCTACAAGGGACTTGGCGCAATCTAGGAGATTCTTGCAGACCGTCAGGCGATACAACGCCAGCTCTTCCACTGTGTAGCCATTTTGATGAATGATCTTCATTTGTTTGACAATCGTCGACTTCCCACTTTCTCCGGACCCTGGTTCAGGAAAAACATCGCAGTCAGACACGAAAAGGAACGCCATGCTAAAAAAGAACACCCCGAACGTACCAAGCAGTAGAATCTTGCACTCTCGCCGTAATCGCCTGGAATCCTCCTCCAGCTTGCGATCGATGGCCTGGCTCCTCTTCTTTTGCTCAGGGTCACCCTGCTCTGAGCTTACACACGAACCCATTTCGGATTATATTCTAGACAGCGAACGACTAAACCATGAGCTGCCTGCGGAAGTGAACGGCATCAACCTAACACGGCCCCGACACCTTCGGGTTAGTCGTCACCAATCGGCTCCCTTAGAGCTAAGAAGGAATACCGAGGCAATGGGGTGACTAAGGATCAATTAATGATTTAAAATAGACGAGAAGGGAGATGATAATAATATTCGCGATCGACGATAGGAGGCGTGACTAGGGATCGAGGGCGGCGGCGCACAGTTAGCAGCGGTACAGCTGGTCTCGGATGAAGGCCTGAGCGACTGCGAGATCCCGGGGGCGGAGATCAAGATACTCGTGACGCAGGAGGTGAAACTCGGGCGATGGAGGGCACCGGTGGAAAGGAAGCAGAAGTCCAAGCGCCTTGATCGTACTCAATATGTCTGGGTTAATAAGTTGAGTTAGGATGAGGGGCGACTGGATTAACTGCGGAGCAAGAAGACGTGTGAGACTGACGAGCCGACGCTAAAAAAGGGTAGCAAAGGTCGATCGGGGGATGATGTGGGAAAAGTGGACGGATCTCGAGTGAGATAATGTAAGCAATACTAAAGTAATCACCCCCGTTCGGTCAGGGAGGCAAGAAAAAATAGAATAAAGGGAACCGGGGTAAGAAAAACGAGGAAAGAATCAGAAAGCGAACGTATAGGAGAATGTCGATCAAGTCATGAAAAGAGAGTAGACGGAAGGGAAGAGGAAAAGAAAGGATCGTAGGAATGAGATACTGCTGCTGTTTTTATGACGATGAACAGTTGCTTGGGGTGGTTGAGACAGATGGTAATTCTCAATGGGCGGATGTTCCCTAATCGTCATAATAGACAGATGGGGAGTGGAGATGGCAGAAAAGAGAGGAGTCCCCGTATTACCGACTTTACCTTACAGAGTATTAGATCGTACCTTCTACCCACGGGAATAAGTGGATAAGTGGTAAAACGTGGACCGGCGAAGCTTACCGACAAAGATTTGAGGCGGTGGGATGGCATGGGACAAGACTAAGATGAAGGGTTGTGACGGTAATTATGGGGGGAAAGGAGCCCGGGATTCGACGCTAAGATACCTCCATTTTCATTCATTGAGCTAGGAGCTTAGGTAATGATGGCCCATTCTCAGGGTGTTGCTCGTTCATAGGAACCTCATCCTTCTCGGTATTATAAGGGTCCGTGGGTAATATTATTGTGTTTCAATCTCCATCTTGCGACATATACCAAGCATCGTCCCTTGTGTCCCACCTCAATGTGATCTCGAGGTACCATTCTGGCGGTAATTCATGTCAGGATATATGTACGTTCTATAAAAAATGCACAGTGCATACTTACATACTTACCTACATAGTTAACCTCCCTGTTGGATTGTGAGAAGCAACTGACATGAGTTAAGTTTTTTGTTATTTTTTGCTTTTTTTTGGACAAAAAGAATATATAAAAAATTATGATATTATCTTAGTAACATATCATTCGAACGGCGATTACTGAATCCATTGACGGGAAAGTCAGGCAGGTATTTTTTTGCCCAGGGATTGGCGGACGCCACCATCCATGATTTTCACTTGTCCTCCGACCTGTCCGCTCCCTTTCTCACCCCTCGCTGTTGTTGACAAAACCAATTTGCAGGCCAAAGGAGAGAAAAATAAATACTATTTTTTTAAAAAAAATAATATTTCTCCACCTGTCTACTTCAGTTCCTGTCCAGCTCAACACAATGGCATGCTGTACTCCTGTGCTTTTAAGTATCCGCTCCACCCAGTGAACGGACCATTTGTCCATACATAGCCACGGAAGGCGCAGGACACACTTCCTCTAGGGGAATGTCATGACTGGGGCTATGTCCCACTATTTGCTGATTGGAGAATTGACCTATAACCCCGACGACGGTGAAAGTACAGGTACCGTACCAAATTTCATAGGATTCGCGAGATAATTCCTCTTAAACACACCTAACTTACAGTAGGTCGTCCTACTAAAAGGACAGAGCACACAAGGTCGAACTATGGAGCGCATTCAGTCTAAGTGACAAGCCACAAATATACCGATTAGGCGTAACACGAAGGTATGGCGCCTTTTCGGGACAAAGAGGGATTTGGAATAGATTTACTTTTGAACCCGAATAACCTTGTGTGTTATGCAATGTTCTTTACCCACAGTAGCGTTAACTTATATCGTCCTCCTAGCGACACCTTGCATGTACATGTAGATACATATAGATGAGCTCACACATGTCGAGCATCGTCAAGAAAAGGGGCATTCTTCAAACCTTGATGGTTACTTCAATTGGGAGACAGCGAAAAGAGACGTGTGTATTTATTCCGCCATATACGGAGTACTTGGTAGACTGCAGTGGACTATCGGAATCCTGGTCATTGATGATTGGAGGCGAGCCTCAATAAATTCCCGATGATGGCCCTGGGGTTATCCAATATGCTGGGTACAGATCAAGCAACCTCGGAAGGGGGTGATGCTTCAAAGAAAGTGAGATATATATATAACCCCGATTAAGTTGTGCGATAAAATGACAAATCTGACTAGATCGCGATCTACTCCAATAGTACTATGGGAGAATATATTTTGTGATTTTTATATGATTATTGGACGATCAAAGTTGTATTATCCCCTTAAAGGATTCTCTCTCTCTCTCTCTCTCTTCTTTTTTTTTCTTTCTCGCTGGAACCTTTTCCATTTTTGTTTTGGATGGGCAGGAAGCAATTTATGTGGAATAATTACACAGCCGGCATGGAGCAGTTGGAAAGGGTTAGCAGCAGATCCGCACCCCACAGGCTATGATGACATCGAGACAGCAAATGCTTGCTGTAAGTTGCGGGAAGCAACGCCTGACGTATTAGGTACCTACCTACATCACCACCGGTATAGGCAGTAGGGACTTTCATTCTGGGAAATTGCATGATAATCGATCATTGCTGCTAGATATTCTGTTGCAATTGGTGCGTTGCAAAACAAGGGGTCACTTTTATTTTTGCTTTTCTTTCTCATTCTCTTAATTTCTGCCTTATGGCACTGTACGGAGTACTCTTTTACCCGCTATGACATAATTGATGAAATCCCGAATGCTTGACGAATCAACATCTAAATATGGTCGATGCAGAATTTTAGATCTTCAACCATTCGAGACCCCTGATTCCTCTTCGGTCTTTGTTGTTTGCCCTTTCGGACCGATTGCGACGTTCATGGAGGAGGGACGAACTCAACACCATGGACACGTGCCATGGGAGCTGAACATGGCGAGGGAAACGACAATGCTCGTAAAGCCGTCACTCATTAATATGTTAATCTATGGCGTCGAACCGACAGGACACGCATTATACTCTGTACTCTGTAGCAAAGCAAATCCCATAAAGAAAAAAGAACCCCACGAGGATCCAAAATAAGAGAGACAAATGCCAATACCAGGTCCCAATGCCCCTCTCGTCCGTGCCTCACCCGGTTATGTAAGCGTGATGGGCGATATTCCCTGAATTTGGGAACCATCTTCCGGCCAATGTTAGTTGGCATATGGTCTAGACAGGCCGCGTGGAGGGCCAAAGTCTTCGTGGTTGCTGTACACCTCCAGTGTTCCCACTTCCGACCTTTTTTTTTTTTTTTTGCAATACCCTACTTTCTTGTCGCGAACGTCATCGGTCTGGCTTGGTTCTTACCGGACTTTTGAAAAGTCAACGGGCTGAGAGAGACTTCCTTTTTCCCCACATACCTTCTTGGGCGCCACCTACGGTTTCTCTGCTTCCTTCCTCACTGCCAAAAAAGTGTTATTATTCGCCTTGTTACTCCAACTCCATTTGCTATCTCCATTTTTTTTTTCTATTTCACTCTCGTTTCTTTTACACACTCCTCCTGTCCCTTCCCTTTCTTTAACCATCTTGTCTCATATACTGAGCAAGTCAAGAGGATTCCGATTTCTGTCCCTTTTCCCCGAATCTTGGAGTTACATTCGTCTGTAATCCAAAATGGCGGAATTCGTGCGTGCCCAGATCTTCGGCACGACCTTTGAGATCACAAGCAGGTACTGGTGTCTCTTGAGACCATTGAATTCAAGCAATGGGATCGGTTCCTTTTTAACAGTTTCGCAGGTACACAGAACTGCAGCCTGTGGGCATGGGTGCGTTCGGCCTCGTGTGGTATGTTCCCAGAGCCCCTCCTTTTAGATTCGCCGTTACCGCCAACCCCTCATATGGACCATGCGCTGACACGCTTTGCCCCGCGAAATTAGTTCGGCGAGGGACCAATTGACCGGACAGCCTGTCGCTGTTAAGAAGATTATGAAACCTTTCAGTACCCCAGTCTTGTCTAAGAGAACATACCGCGAACTGAAACTATTGAAGCACTTGCGCCACGAAAATGTCGGTCGATTTACCCGAATACGGCTGCATCGCTCCGTACGCTGACTCTGACTAGATCATCAGCCTAAGTGATATTTTTATTTCTCCCCTCGAAGACATGTATGCACGATTTCTACCAACTTTAAGAGGGACACCTATTGTCTAACCGATCGGCACAGCTATTTCGTAACCGAGCTCCTGGGTACCGACCTCCACCGACTGCTCACATCAAGGCCGTTGGAGAAGCAGTTTATCCAGTATTTCTTATACCAGATCTTGGTGTGTGGCTGCGACAGGCTCCTCCAGGCGAGGTGGGCTTGATGCTAATTCTCTACAGCGAGGACTTAAATATGTGCACTCAGCAGGCGTTGTGCACCGCGATCTTAAGCCGAGTAATATCCTTATCAACGAGAACTGCGACCTGAAGATTTGCGATTTTGGTCTCGCCCGTATTCAAGACCCTCAGATGACAGGCTACGTGTCGACGAGATACTACCGTGCGCCCGAGATTATGCTCACATGGCAAAAGTATGATGTGGAGGTGGATATCTGGAGCGCCGCTTGCATTTTCGCCGAGATGCTGGAAGGAAAGCCTCTGTTCCCCGGCAAGGATCATGTGAACCAATTCTCCATTATCACAGAACTCCTTGGAACCCCACCGGACGATGTGATTGAGACAATCTGCAGTGAGAATGTGAGTAACCATGCGATAGGCCATGTGGAGCCACTGCTAACATTGGCCACAGACTTTGCGATTTGTCAAGTCTCTTCCCAAGCGCGAGCGTCAACCCCTCGCCACCAAATTCAAGAACGCCGACCCGGATGGTATGTATTCCGTTCAATGGGGATTAAGCGCCATCAGATGCTAACAACGCACAGCGGTTGACCTTCTCGAACGGATGCTGGTATTTGATCCGAAGAAGAGAATCCGCGCGGGCGAGGCGCTGGCGCACGAGTACCTTGCTCCGTACCACGACCCCACCGATGAGCCTGTGGCAGAGGAGAAGTTCGATTGGTCATTCAATGATGCTGACCTACCTGTAGACACCTGGAAGATCATGATGTAAGCACCTCTTGGATGCAATGATGTGGTTGCCAAGCTAATCTAGAGACCCCTAGGTACTCGGAAATTCTCGACTTCCATAATATCGATCAGGGTACCGAGGCGGCGAGTCAAGTCCTCGTTGAGGGAGCTGGCGATGCCCAGCAAAATTTTGTATAATCGGGTTCCTTAATTCGCGGACGAGGCGCAGGCAATAGTGCAGCGTGTTTCTGAGGTTATTCTCTTCTTTTTTCTTTTGTTCTCCTTGTTTGGTATGTAGACTGGGCATGAAGGCTGTGATATCTTTACATCTACGGATACTTTCTCATTCACTGTCACGTGGTTGTTTTGCAAATTCCGAGGCGCTTATGCCTTCAGGAACTGTGGTTTTCTCATGACGTTGTTAGAATCGGGGGGATTGAAAATCATTTATGGCATTGATTTTCCCTTTCTCTTTTGGTTTCTTGTCCCTTATATACAAGTTACACGTGAACCATGAATGATGAACTAGTTGGTGCTTGAGGGATACTCGAAGGCAAATCGAACCATTAGAACAATTTTACTGATCATTCATCGCGCTAATTATTTGATTGGTCATAGGTATTATAAGTAGTACTCCGGTGGCAGAGATCCCAAATATCAGCCTTATGGTTTAGTTATCTTTCCGCAGATTGAATTATGGGGACTAGTCGGACTTAAAACACGGGGTGGGGGGGATTAATGTCTCCAGTTGGCAAATTTAATCAACCGCCAGCTTGTCACCGCCCGCCGCGGGACCCAATGAACCAATTCATTAGTTCCCCCCTGGTTCCAATTTCCATCAGTCTTCAGCTTGAGGTCCTCCTTTGATTCATTCTTAGTTGTACCTATCTTGAGGCTACCCGTATCTCCCTAACACTCTTTCCCGGGAGGGTAGCCCCTACTCTCAGAGAGAAATTGGCTTCGAATCGTTCCTTGTTTTGGTCATTTTGTATGTGGCACCGCTGCAGTTCCACACCACACCATGCTAGTGTTCCAAGTCGCCAGGCACCTATTGTTATGGTCATAGACTTTCATCATGCAAGGTGAGTAATTGGATGAGAATGCGGGAACAAGAAAGGGAACGAGATAGGCAGAGACCGCACCATTCGCAGTACCAGAATCATGTTCATGTCATTCTTCGGTTGCGCTTGTATGTGCTCGGGGCTTTCTGCATAGCACAGCCCGGGATTATCTTTTGTCCTTGCGCCACATTTTCTGGGCCCGTTGGCTAACATCTATCATTTTCTGTCTCCTGCAGGGGCCCCGAAATCGAACTGTGCTTTGGAGAAGACGGAACCGATCCCGCGGTGAAGAATGACTGGAGTTTGTTACCATTCATGGCCTTATCAGACGGGGCGCATATGTACGGCGATGTTTTACCCCCAATACGCTCCATCCAAGTTACAGCATCTGCTTAAGCGCGCATTCATTTATTGACGCGAATTCTGGCCCTCCAGGTCGACCGAGGAGTTCTCTTATTTTACACTCCGCCGAAAGGAGACCGCCACGGAGCCTGCAACTTCCCTTTTCGGCATATCTTGTTCCAGACAAATCGATTCGAACTTGCTCCTATACCGACCATCCGATGTGACAAGATCCACAGTACAGAAGGCAGTTGTTGTCATCACAGATAGCCCCCAGAGCCTGGGCCAGCTGAGAGAGAAATTGTCCATAGTAACATCTGCTTGGTTCGCGCAGCGGTATGTTGGTATCACTATATATGCTAGCTGGTGGCTCTTCGCTACCCAGGTGTGGGGGAATCTCTAACTAATGCGTATACGGACGAGAACAGGGATTTCTCCGATATCGATATTTTGAAGGTGTGTTTTTGTTCTTTTTCATTTGCGGCTTGGCATTGTCCATTGGTCCCCAGTAGTGCTGACATGCTTCAGAAATTTCGAGAAAGCCTAGTCATGAATCTGAACAAGGATGAAAGTTTCAAGGATCAAAATCTTGGTGAGTCCAGTTACCTAGAGCACTCGATCTTTGTTGCTGACCAGCCTACAGGACTGTCTCTGCGGGAAATGATCCATGAGTTTAAGTATCAAACTCTGGTCCTGTTCAAAGCCTTACTCCTGCAGCCCAAGGTTGGTAGTTCCTAGTTGGTCATCGTACAAGATACTGACTGAGCTCAGATGCTTTTCTTTGGTTCAAGATGCGAGCGTTTATGCATGATACAATTCTCCCTCGTTTCATTGATACCTGGCCTCATAAACTACCTTCAAGACTGTGCAGACCCAGCATTCGAAAGCTATACGAAGACTGTTGAGAAGCCTACCACTCTGAAAACAAGCGACAGAAGTTCTCGTATGATTGTAACAATCCTACCTTCGATTATATCTCATACTGATTCTTATAGTGCTGGCATATATGGGATTGCCGCTCCAAATCTTTGGCAAGGTTCGTGCCATGGATCAAAGACCACGTTATGTTCTAACTTCTGCAGGGGAGCATGTTCGGACCTTACACGCCTCTACAGCAACTGGATCTGCTGGCGGATCACGGCACGAAGTCATATGTAGTTGGCTCTACGAATTCGTTACTTTTACAACAGAAAGATCGCTATAGTGACATCTTAATCAACGTGAGGGAACGTCTGCTCTAGTTTGACAACTCGGTTACTTACGCAATGAGATCTGCAGCTTGACGAGGACACCATTAATATCACGTCCCCCTCTCTACGAAATGCACTGGCACTATCTGTCGCAGACAGACGTTGGATCGACCTTCTTACCCAGATTATCAACGATACGTGGGACGAGGCGCACCCGGAACAACCCAAGACCCACGGGTATATGGGCTCTGAAGAATTTATCAGGCTACAATTCGAAGAGTATCTGCTGGCATTGCTTTCATGCATGAAATATCATGAGGAGCTGGATTCCTTCAATGCGGGTGACCCAGGCCGCAGAAGCAAAGAGCAATTGGAAGCATTTAACATAGAAGGCGACCCTGCGCTAGAATTCAACGCCGAGTTTCTGGCACAGTGGCAAAACACTTCTAATTATGCGCTTTTCAAACACCTGACCTCCGATGCACTGTTGTACTCCATCGTCGAGCCTCGCCATCCTTGTGCCGGAGGTCTCACTATGGACGATGTTCAACGTCGGTTATCACAACAAGTCGCGGATCTTCATCTGGACGAACGGGTACGGGAAAGCCGCGAGGCGCTCAATAGGCATATCAGTACTGGCCAAAAGAAAGTAACCGCCGCATTCAACAACTTCTGGGCCGATATCGAAGCGATGCGAGAAGCACAGCGGAAAAAGAATGAAGAGAGAACTCCCCAGTCACAACGGTCCTCAATTGACAAGGGCTCTTCCCCTCAATTTTCACCGTCTGATACAGCATCTGTGCATTCCACTAGTGGTTCCTCTTGGTTCGGTGCTCGCAAGGCTCCTTCCGTGGACATTACTCAAGCACAGGCATCCGTGAGTGCCGCTGGTCAAAGGGCAGGGGCGTATTTGAATTCGTGGAGTACCTGGGCTAGCGAAAAGCGAAAGGAATGGCAGGACAAAAGTAAAACCCCATCCTCTCCATCTTCAGTAACCTCACCATCGACCCCGACATTGGCGGGTACCGCAGAGCAGAGCGACCTGCCGGAAAGAGGTAGGCGATCAATGCAGGCAAGCCGCAGCGAAGACTCCATTACTTTGTCTCGCAGCGGAAGTAGAAGGAAGAGATGGAGCAACATTTTCTTGAGACGGGATAGCGGCGAGTATGGCTCACTCAACCGCAAGGATGATGGTGACGGTGGCGAATATGACACTGCCAATACACGCTCGCAGCTATCGAACGAGGTCCCTGCTAATGACGGTCCGTCGCACCCAACCGAACAGCCATCTGAAGAGGCGAAGGCCTCCGCAGCAGCTCAGGTCAGCAGCACAAGCGAAATCCACAAGCCCAATGAGAGAAATGATACTACCACCACTGCCAACGCATCAACTGAGCAGCCCAAGCCTTCGGTTAAGCCCCAGACCACCATCGATAAACAGGATACCATAGCAGAAGAGCCAGCATCCACCGAGAGCAAGACTGAAAACGAAGCACCCACCACCGCAGAACAAGCTCCACAAAGCCAATAATCTATTCACAAACGACAGGAACACGATCGCATGAATATTTTTTCATTTTGACCCATTATATAAACTCAACCTAATCATTCGCCCCATGCATAAAAACAAACTTCTTGCATATCGTTTATTCACCATCATCATTTACGCTTCGAAGCTTTGATACCCGGGGAAGGACAGAGCTTGTATTATTGTTACCTTTTGTTGCTTCTCAGCATATATCATATTCTCCTTTTTAATATTCGAAAATGCATATACGATGTTCCTTGATACAATTGCCTTCTCACATGTGAACCAATATATCCTGCATCTTCTGAATGCATCAGCGGTTGGATATGAACATTTAAGATATATTATGCATACCATTATAGAGCTCGTGGCATGAACATTACTTGTTGTTACTAATAGATGTCTATTCAATCATTTTTGAATTTCCCAACATAAGCGTTACAAGAAAAAAGGACCAAAAGGGGAAAATCCAATCCTTGTTGATATAGTGGGTTATCATTCGTCATATCGGTGCTACGAAAGCAGAAGACTCCTATCCTTGACCTATGAATGAAAGCCGTATGCCACAGTGAGAAAAAAAAAAAAAAACCATTGAACAAAGAAAGGAAATAGAGGGAAAACCAGCGAGAACCGGCGCTAACATAGAAATGATTGGGAAGGGGACAATGACGGAAAAACTTTCTAAAAATTATGCAATATAAGCGATCTCATCACCATCCAAGCGCTCTATATAATCCTTCTCCATGAGGGCTTCGATATTCTTCTTGATATCGGGTACCTTAGGTGGGAAGCGGGATTTGACTTGTTGGATCACTTCCTGGACTAGTTGGACGTGCTTCATCTTCTTGCGCGATTTCATGATGCGGACGATGGCGGACTGTACATATGTTAGACAGTGACTCGGAAATTGGGGAATTCTGCAACATACCTGAAGCAGCAGTTTACGATCCTCCTCTATAGTCTTATGTGTATCGTCCGACTCGACCTTCTGTTCCGACTTGATCTGAATGTTGAGGTTGACCTTGACCTTTTTATGTCTGAAGTTGTAGTTCAAGGTGAACGAGGTGCCAGGTTCTGGCTTGGACCCCTCGGGGCTGATGGTAAGTACCTTCGCCTTGAGGAAGATACCCAAGTTTGGCTCAAGAATTTCAGGAGCAAGAGTGGTGGCTTTTTGAATGTCCTCGTACGTTAAAGTATCGGTCTCATTGAAAAGGAGAAGAATACCCATCTGGAAGGTTGACACTTGGAAAGTATAAGGTACCTTTGTGTTTTTGATGTAGTTAGTTTTGATTTCGCCTTTGCACAGCTGCCAAAGCCATGTCAGCTTCCGACCATTATGCTTGTCAAAGTAGAAGTTTTGGAATCGCTCAGCCGTCTTGACGATTTCTGGCGGCGCAAGGAAGTCCGTCGACGGAGCTTGAAGAGGCCAAAATCCAGTTCCAAGAATTTGGAAGTGTGCATCCACCAGCTTCCTCCGATCGTCGTCATCAAGAACCTTGTCTTGCCAATCTTTGTAGCTGGCGTTGAGATCCTTTGAGATCTGAATATCTTGGAACATACGCTGCAATTTGTTGGTGTACTCGAAACCACAGGCCTCCTTGAGCTTGCTGATCATACTAGTCTCCGCGTCATCGGACACCGAGCTGACATGCACCAGTCGCTTAGCAAGCATCTTCGAGTAAAATTTCTGGAAGACATCCTTATCTTCAATGTATTTGAAGACCGTCATGATCTGGACTAGCATCTCCTCCAGCTCGGACTCCTCAGCAGCTTTGGATCCCTTCTTCAGTAGGGAGTCAGTATACTTAGCCAGGAGCTCCGGCGATTTCGTCGAACTAGACGCGCAGATCTTATTGCGGTTGACAAACTCGCGGCAAGCATTGTCCAACGAGCGCACAAACTCCGATTCGCCATTGAAGGCCTCGTTAACCAGACTCTGATATCTTGTATGTACCTGCAACAAAGCATCCACATACATCTTGGGTTCGAACGCCTCGCCTTCCGCTGCAACCTTCTCAACCGCCGCCAAACCTGCTTTTCTAACATGGGTCTCGAACTTCGTCCGCAGAGGATCCAGGCCCTCTTTGATGCGAGACAAGAGCCGGTACATCCGAGCTAGGTCCTCTTGACGTTCGTTGTCCAGCAGAACCTGGAATTCATCACGCAACAGTTCCGAATGGGCAGTAACAAGGACATCCAAACACGTGTCGGTAAGATGTTTCGAGATATCCGGGTGCAAATACAAGCCCACACGAGCCTTTTCTTCTTCTAAACGAGCCTCCGCCTTCTTCATGTACTCCACCACGCTGTTTTCTGCCACGAATTGGCGCGACTCGTTTTCGTAATAGACCTTGGTAGCCGCAATGAAGGGCTTCTCAAAGAACATCCGATATACTTCAAGCGTCGACTTGGAGCTGTCGCTTTCGTCCAGTCCGAGGGAAACAAAAGAATCGACGATACTCTTGATTTGCGACTGCTCGATCGTTTCACCATTACGCTGCTTCTCGACGAGGTTCAAAACTGCGTCCATAACCTTCTCATGGACCTTCATGAAGAAGTCATCTTTCCACTTGACGAGGTGCAGAGTATATACGTCGTAAACATTTTTTTTACCCTCATCGATCTCCCGCTTGACCCAATGTCGGTTGAGATAGCCGAAAAGATGGTTGATGTACTTGGCGGCTGTCGTGTAACGGGTCCATTCGCGGATGTAGAACCCTAGTAGGGCCTCTTCGGCGTGGCCCTTGGACTCGAGATGCACAGCATCGAGGTGACGTGAAAGGTACTCTCCAAGTAGCTTGTATAGCTCCTCTCCTAGCAGATGTGCTGAAACATTGTTAGATGCAGGGGCCCGGTATATCCTTGAGGGTTTATGCGTTGATGAAGACGAACCACCGCGATGTGCTTGTAATCCATGGCCATTGCCGACAGCCTTTTGTGATGTGCAAAAATTGTGAACCGCGCTTCGCTCAGAATGTCAGTCGAGTCCAAGATAATTAAAACAAAAGGTGGCATACGTATATAGAGCCATGTACTAAAAACCCAAGTGAATTGTCAGTACGCAGCTGCAAGCCTTTCCCATTCACCAGGAGCGACCAAGTTAAGCGATTCGAAATGGACTTACAGTCTTCATATCCACTCCCTCCTCCAGCTTCAACATCACACTGTCGACGCCCTTCTCCAGGAACGACCATCTGCTTGAGTTAGCCTACCATCCTTTACATGGCGCCTCCGAAGTTATCCGATGCTTCATTCGAGTATGAGCGACTCACGTTTCATCCAAGTCATCCTTGTGAGGTGTCTGGGGAATAAGGGAGGGTGGCATGGTGCTTTTCGCAGATGACTTCGGCGAGCAGGGAGTACGGCTGCGAAACAAGGGCGTCAGTTCTCGCAGAAACTAGGGCGAACACTCAGACAGATGACACACGCGTGACGAGCTGAGGATGGATAGACGAGATAGGGGTTCGAAGGTGTCGAGGACTTGTCGTAACACAGCAAGGGTTCTCGGGGCCTTCCTACTTTTTGGTTTCGGCAATGAGCTCGCCTCCAGAAGCGGGCGATTACAACACTGGCGACGTTCAGTCCAAACACGATCGTCAAGGCAGGAGGATAGCCGCACGCTATGAGATAGCACGGGTAACGGAAGGGACCGACTGAGGAGTCACAAAAAGAGGACCTCAGTACAGAAGTCTGAGCTAGAGCGAAGTATGAGCAACCACAAACACGCCTCAAAGTACCAAAAATACCGAGAGACACAAGAGTAGGCGTGGCGTTGGGCGGTAGTGAGAGTCGAGATCAGACATCCGTGGGGGGGAAACGCTTTATGGACCTTTGCGGTAGGCGGTCAACGCAGCTGGCCTGCACAGGATCTTGATTAAATCTAGATTTTATGGGGTTTAAGAAGAATAGTTAGGCAACCAACACCTTCAACTCTTCCAGTACTGCTACCTAATGGAGTTGGGAATGTTCCCAAGCTCATCCGAGTCGGTATTATTTTGTTTTGCATTTGCTTCGTTCCCTTTGGAGCGCTTCTTTGTTACGCGAGCAGTCTAGTATGAAGACGTTTTTTTCCCTTTTTCGTTTTCTTTTTTTTTTTCTTTTTTATAAATACGCATGACGCAGTAACTACCGTGCTTATGAATACTTCTTTCCTTTGGTTTTTCTTTCTCTTCCCCTTAGTACACAGTAATAACTCTCCCTTGGATGTGTGACTGTGACAGACACATATTGGGTATATCGTAGCAACGCCCTGTTGAGGGTAGAAGAAGAGAAGGGGAATTCCAGGAGGATGTAGTATAAACACATTCGGTCTACTGAAACTTGGGAACAAAACCGCAAGCATTATCGCAGATGACGTCATGGTGGCTTTCCATTTTTGGAAATCCCTTCGACCCTTACTTGACCGAATCAAACAACTCGAGCCTCTTCCTGGCCCTAGAACGGTAAACTGTCTACTTCCGAGTCTCGTACATACTGAAGCGAAACCTATCCATTTGATTGGAAAGGAAACCATGTCGTTCAGTTCCCCATCCGATATCGAGGTTACCACTCGTCAAATCCCGGAATGGAAAGATATTCCCAACACATCCATACAGTCTAAGCCGCTTATGATATATCATCACGCTTTTGAGGCGTCTCCAAGGCAGCTTCAGGCGCGTTTGGAAGAAATCGGCGAGGTCGAACCACAGTGGGTTTATACTATGTATCAGCAGACGCATTTCCACAGTACAACGCATGAAGTTTTGGGAGTGGTCTCCGGACGCGCTCGTCTCTGCTTTGGCGGTGAAGCAAACCCCAGTCGATTTGAGCCGACGGTTGAGAAAGGCGATCTTATCATCGTTCCCGCTGGGGTAGGCCACCGCCTCTTAGAGGATCTCGGCGCGGAGAGTTTCAGCATGGTGGGTGCCTATCCTCGAAATAAACATTGGGACATGTGCTATGGACAACCAGGGGAGGAGACAAAGCTCAAGGCTATCGAAAAGCTCGACTGGTTCCATAGTGATCCCTTGTACGGAGCCGATGGCCCCGTTCTCCACGTCTAACATTGTACTTTGGGCGATATCCTCTTCTCCGTGTCTTGTTTGACCTTATATTCCATCATTCTACTAATATATACATACATAATCATCACATGTGCATGGCCGTTGCTATCCAGGATCCAAAACGTTTTCCAAACCTGGGTACCAAATACAAGGCAAGAAAGATAAAAAACAAAA